ATTATTATTTATTTTTTCCCCCCAAATAGGTACAGTTGAATTCCATATTAAATGAAGACATTTATCCTCACTTATTATAAAAAGAGTAATCATATTTCCGTATGTCATAATAATAATGCTATTTATTTGTTTTTATGCATGTGATTAACTTTAAAACTTAAAATAAATATGCTTAAAAAATATTACTTTCCTAAAATTATATTTTTTTTATTCAAATCTTTTCATTTTCTCCTAAATATTGCAGAGTTTTCAAAAATAAATAGGAAATGATAGTCGGAATTTGAAAATTTTCCCAAACAATAAGTAAATTAAGAAAGGTGGAGTTAAAAGTTTTAAATTAGAGTGCATAAGAAGTAAAGTTATCTAAAAGTATTTAAATAGATAAATAAAATATAAAATGTGAAACCAGATACAAATAATATTAAAATACACATAGCCAAAATAGTATGGGTATGTTGTATGGGTGTAACCTAATTGAAATAATAGAAATATTTATTAGAAAATTTTAAATGCCATGAAAAAACATTCAAATCATAAATTTCAGAGACGAGTTCTAAATATTTTAGTATTGTAGAACAAAAGTTTGGCAATCTGGCATTTGAGGAGATTCTGGATTATCAGATTAAAATTGGAAAATTCTGCAAACTTTTTTTTTCCAACGTTTCGTTAGTTTCAGAAGCTTCATTATTGAATGTAATGAAGAATGAAAAAATTGTGTATTGGGATTCTGCAAGCATAATTGTGTAGAGACAGACATTAGGTATTTTTTTGAAAGCAGGAAAGATGAAAAATGAGTAATGCCCTGACTGGGACTCGAACCACTGACATCTCGAATATGTGCCAAGTGTGCTGACCACTATACCACAAAGGCATGCTAAGAAGGCGGGAGAAATACCTTACAACTGAATCAAACTTTTGATAAATTAATTCACAGTTTAATTATATAAAAGCCCTTTTTGCTTTAAACCACCATTATATCTAGTGCATGAAGTCTTTTCATGTAATATTTCTCTTGCTTCATAGATTCTGCTGCTACGAAGGCCAGGCTTTTCAGAATTATTTTTAAGCAAGTATAAAGTGGGTTATAATATCACTAATATAATTTTGATGAATTTTTAAAGTCACATGTTTCTATTTCATTCCCTTATCAACTTTTTTTTTTGGGGGGGGGGTGTTTTGAAAAACATTTAAAATAAAGATAAAGAATGCTAATACAAATTCCATATTTACCTGCATTCCCCACTTTTTTCACAATTTTTTTCGTATAAAATTGAGAGGAGAAAATTATCGAAATAATTTAATATCTGAAGAATGTTGTTGAAGCAAGAAAATTACAGGTGAAAAGTATTCAAGAATAACTACCAGTAATTATCACAATATTATTTGTTTAAAATAAGCCTACATTCTAGTAAGAATACATAGTAATATTAGCATTACCAATATCTAATAAGATATCATCATCTCTATTATTGTTATTCACTGCTACTCCCTTAGGCCTCAAACCATTTAATGCTACTGCAACTGCTCTCTGTGTCGTTTGAAACAGCTTGCAGTTCCTCAACATCTAGCCGTCTGCATCCACACCCAAAATCCACGAGGAAATTAATTCGGAAGACGAAAATAATCACTATATGGACGAATCCATTTTAAAATTTAGGAAAGCTGACTTGCCTTGAGAAAGAGGGAAAGTTACCGTTAATACTTAAAAGAATTTTTTTTTCCCCCCAGAATCTTGTGCAGAGGAAAAGTTTGCAAGGAAGTACGTTGTGTGAATGTGAAATTTTTAATAAAGGATAAAGAAAGGTCACAATAAATAAGCTTTAAGTAAAAAATTATTTGGTGAAGACAAAAAACCTAAACCTGTGGAGCTTTTTTGAAAATAGCTGATTGAATTGCTAGTTGTAGCATTTTATCAGATTGTTTATTGGTGAAAGAAATGCTTCAACTAGCATTTTGTTATGCTGCTGTGTATGGTGGAAATGTTGACGAAACAAGTATCGATTATCAGATGTGCTGAATCTTTGGATGACGGATTATAGGACTTCCTGTACTTTTTCTGTGCCAGTGATATTTGTACAAATATTTTAATATTTTGTACATATCTAGACGTACATAAATAACATTATGTAACTGAAACAACAATCGTCGTCTGAAGAGAGAAAATCAGCTCAGCCTTGCTGAAAATGAGGGATGACTGCAAAATGATGCTGAACATGTCTCTCTGGCTTTCTGTTCCGAGTTTGCTGTGACGTTTAGTGATAGAATTTTCTTTATTAGTGAATTTTGCTCTTATACTAAAAAAAGCTACGCGGCATCTTGATTTTATCAGGCAGGAGAATGGAATTAAGATTTCTAGGAAAAGTCCTGACTACTGCTCCCTTTTTCGAGCAGAACTCATTGCCGTTGAGGTGGCCTTGAATTAGGTTTGGTTTGGTTTACTTAATTATGGCAAAGTACACCAGGGCTATCTGCCTAAGGAAGGCTTTCTAAGAAAAAATGGCTCGTATACACGTTACACATGGGAAAAACCACGAAAACGTCCATGCAGCTAGCCCGTTCGCAGTATTTGAACCTCGGACTGAACTACCAGTGTTCAGCGACTTTACCGCTCGGCCGCTGGTGGGCCCTTGAGTTAGGTCAATGAGGGAGTCAATACTGACGTCTGCATTCTGAGCGATAGCTGAAGCTTTGTACAGTGTTCGTCTGAGGGGTGGAAACATGGAGAGAGACGACCTGGCGCTGCCCTAAGAGAGGCAAGCAATAGATTTGAAGAAATGGCTCTAGCTAGGCTGTGCACTGGTTATTTGTTGCTTTACGTCTTGTGTCGAGCATTAAAGTCTATCCCTTTTGCCCGAAATGTAGCTTGACCCAAGCCACTCCTGCCCATATTTTGTCATGCTTTGGTTGCCTGAGGAGCCAGCTCCTCTCCTGTTCTGGAATTGTTCTTCGGGGATTTGAAATCCACGAGTTCATAGACCTGATCTGATATTGCGGTCGATTGGGTGGGATATGAACAAACAAACATATTTTTTATGTAATATATGTAAAGCTAGCAACTGACTTAAAAATACGCTACAATTGATTGGTTGGGCAGCTTTGGAATTCTTAGTGAAATATCTTTTATATGGTTTTAAATGAGAACCATATAAACATGTATGTTTTTCACAGGTACAAGTAATTTTTTTTTTTTTTTTTTTTCAATTCTTGAAATTTTTCAGTTACAAATTATATTATATAACTTCAGTTATTCAGTATAGGACTCAAATTCCATTTAGAGATTCTTTGTTTGCAGACATCTCTTTATGCCACTACATTTTTTACAAAAGACCTAAATTAGTACATAATATTTTTATTTATGTAGATGTAGGTTAGTGAAAGTAATCTGAAGAGGATTTTAAGTTGTATGGAGTTAGTGACAAGTCAAAGCATTCTGTATTTGCTTTGTGCTGCGAATATATAATTAAAAAAAAGTATGATTTAAATTATGAGAAAGCACTGAGGTTTAGGGAAGTTTTGCAAGATGGTTTGATTACCTGCTGTGTCTTTAAGTAATAAAATGTTTTATGTTCAAGTCTACCGTATCAGCTGAACATAAACTCTCTCTGCTGCAGAGGTATCCTTGTGTCTCACAACCAAATCTTGACTAATTGTCAGCTTCATGGCCCATTGTCATTGCTTCCGTGCTGAAGTCTTTTATATTTGGAAAGGCGAAAGAATAGTTCTATGTATAGAATATTCCAATTAAATGCAATATATATTTATTGTATAGTTCTTTCTGTTAATATTATTTTAAGTTTTGAAAACAGTTCGTACGAATTGATAGATGTTTTTTAGAGACTTGAGAAGAATTCGAAAACTTTTTCACGTATAAATTAATAGTAATTTCTCCTTCAATTTTACACCATTTAGACTCGGAGTCAGTAATTTCACAGTATTTTGATAATATAGACGAAACGCGTGTACACCATATTTCTTAGCTGACCATAATCAGAGAAGTTCACTCTCCCTTATTTTCCCCCTCAAGAGAAATTGTTTGCGTTACCTTTCTCCGTACCTCTTTTTTTTTTTTTTTTTTTTTTTTAATCAATTATTGAAAAGGAGACAATTTTTATCATTCATGCCATATACAGTGGGTGATCTGTTAACGAACGTAATCTGTTACAAGACTATGTTCGCTATCCGAATTATTCGTTAATCGATCATCGATTTACCATAGATTTTTTTGTGAAATCGATTAATTCGTTCTGGAGACCCTAAAAATTAAATTAAAATAAAGGATGTATAATTTCTTAGTAAGTTTATTAAAAAATAGTACATACATATAGTCGTGCATATTAATCAGTCCTTTTTATTTTTTGTTTATGGAGAGTTAAAAACATGTCCAATGTCTATTGCTTTTCTCTCTTTTTCACGATTTTCCGGAAGTGATTAATAGCATTATCTCTGTAAAGATCCCCAACCCTACTGACATCGGCTTGGTTTGGGTGCCATTCTAAGACCATTGCTCTAACATCCTCCCACTTCTTCAAAAGATCTTTAATGGCAGATGTCGGCATTGGACCTCTTTCGTCTTCCTCTTGTTCAGAAGGAAACGCATTTTGCTGTGTTTCTTGGTATTCTTCATTCAACATTTGTTGGAGTTTTTCTGTCGTCAGTTCATCTCCATGTTCCATTATGAGCTCTCCTATGTCATCCTCGTTCACCTCCAATTCCAGATTTCTAGCAGTTCTCAAAATTCCATCCATAATTTCAGGGGTGTCTCCTTGAACGAAGGATGGATACAGCTTTCGCCAAGAAGAAATCAACTGTCACTGCTTGACATCTGACCACGTCTTTTGAATATTACGAATAGCTTCAAGAATGTCAATTTTTTTTTTCCAAAACGTTTTCAAAGTCATTGTTGTGGAGATTTGGCATGCTTCAAAACACCGGCGAAACAGCGCACGAATGTACAATTTCTTGTAACCCGCGATAACCTCCAGATCCATTGGCTGAAGCAGCTAAGTCTTATTCGGAGGTAGAAACTGAAATGTCAGACAGGGAAAGTCTGTCAGAAAATTATCTTCAATGTTCTTTGGGTGACCTGGTGCATTGTCCGATAGCAGCAGTGCTTTCAGTGGCAAGTCATTGGTATCAAGGTAGTCCTTGATGCTCGGGACACAAACTTCAAACAGCCATTTTTTGAAGAGTCTGCGTGACCCATGCAATTGGATCTCCACATTGCTGGCAGTCTTCTCTTGATTATGGAATTTTTTTAATGCTCTATGATTCTCAGAGTGATAAACGAGAAGTGGTTTAAGCTTCATATCACCACTAGCGTTAACTCCTAAAAGTAACGTCAACCGGTCTTTCATGGGTTTATGCCCCGGAACGCTTTTCTCATGTTTCGTGATGTAGGTACGGTTCGGCATGCGCTTCCAAAACAAACCAGTTTCATCACATTTTTGTTGGGGACGATACCCTTCTGTTTCAATGAATTCTTCGAATTTGAGACAATACTTCTCAGCTTCTTTAACTGCACGAGCAGTCTCACCATGAATTAATACATGTTTGATTCCAGACCTCCTTTTAAACTTTACAAACCATCCAGTGGTAGCCTTGAATTCTAACTCGGATGACGAACTTTGAGTTTCTTCTTTCAGTTTCTCAAATATTTATCTAGCCTACTTTTGAATTATAGCCATACTAATTACATCTCTTTTCATTTCCCGTTCATTTATCCAAACTAAAAGCAACCTCTCCATTTTTTCATAGATGTGATTTTACTTACTCCTTTAGCTGCTCGAGTCTTCTTGATGATATCTTTCTTAGCTAAGATTGTGCATACTGTAGACCTGTTCAAGCCATACTGTCTCGCAACATCAGCCATCTTCTGTCCACTCTCTACTTTGGCTATAATCTCTTGCTTGGTTTTTATGGTGAGCACAGTTCTTGACACTTCACTCTTTTCAGACCCATAATCAGATTTTCATTTATTTTTTTTTAATTAATTTTATTTATTTATTTATTTATTTATTTTTTTTTATAAAGGGTTCAGAAAAGCACGTAGGAAAATTTAGAGGAACAGAAATCAACTACGTACACAACTGCGGTATCGGCGCACACAGCTACGCGGATACATGAAACGGGAAATCGTAGAAGGAGTCGTGCCTCACTGCTACGTGATATGCTTCACGTTAGCGCTGCACGTGTGTTATTACCACATTCAGGGTTGCCGCTGGTGACTATGGCGACTTCTTTACGCAAAATATGGACCAAAAACGACTATTTTTAAAAAAGTAGCGACTTTTTGAAACTTTGGACGACTATATCAATTTTTTAAAAGATTTTTTGTATGAAAAATCGCAGGTGATAATTACAGTAGCAGTATTTTCAAACGCCGCTATAGCCTAGAATGCGTTATTACGAAAAAAGTACTAATCATGCATTTTCTGAGGCAACTGATGTGTTGTGGTGTGCTTCTAAATGAAAGTAAACTATCCTCCAGTTCGCTACTATAAATTTGTTGGATCAGCTATATGGATAAATGAAAAGAAACTGGGAGGGAAACGAGGCGCATATTGTTTCACCGTGAGAGAAAAGGAGTCTGTCGTTTGGAATTCGTCATTCAAGAATGCGTATGGGACTGTGAATGAACGGAGGGGGCGCTCAAAATGAAATGAGTTTCGGTTTTGAGAAACTGGTTCTCTACTTTGGCTATAAATATTCTATTGAAAAAAAAAAAAAAATTCTTTCCGATATAGAACTTTGAAATTTAATAAGCAAGCAACATAATTCAAAAGATATGAAAAACGATTTTTGGGCCGTTGGGTTTGGCAACCCTGCACATTATGCTCCGAGAGAAGAGAAGTGTTCGTTTTAGTTCGTTATCCGAATATGTGTTCGTTATCCGAACGCAAAAATCTTTCGTGAAAGTGTTCATTGTCTGATTTGTTCGCTGTCCAAACTGTTCGTTAACCGATCACCCTCTTTATTTAACTTTACATTTAGACATTTCTTCTAAACACTTTATTTAATTTTGTTTATCAATTTGATTCGAAAATTGTTTAGTTATTTATTGAATTTTTATAACATACAGTGAAGCAGCTACCGAACACGAACACCTATGTAAGAGACTAGTATGAAACTTTGGTATCAAACCTCATCCTTCTAGGTTGACCACCTTCATAGAAAGATAAATCATTTCGAATCGTAAATGGCCGTCTTTAGCTTTCCCATTTATTTTCTTTAGTAAACTTTTAATTTTTTTATTCCTTTATATGAAACAGTTGAATTATTTCTTGTTCTTTCTTAACACATAGTGAATTATTTCATAGCAATGTTCCCTGGAAGTGACCAATAGTCGGTTTAGGATGAAAGATTATTCTAGATGTTGTTTTTTAGGTATTTTATCATGGCTGCTGCTAAACTGTTGGGGGCATTATCACTTAGAAAACGCGGCTTAGATAAGATTGTTTCTAAAGGAAACTGGTGTATATTAGTAATTAGAAGAAAAAGTACCTGGCGGTTGTCTTTTATTTGTTGGTTGGTTTATTTAATTATGTCAAAGCACTCAAGGGCTATATCTGTCTAAGGGGAGGGATGCCTTTTTGGAGGACTTTTTAAGAGAATATCTGACTCGTATACACATTACACATGAGAAAACGCCCATGCAGCCAGCCCATTCTCCAGGATTCGAACCCCAGACCGAGCTATCAGTGTTGAGCGAACTTCTGTTTCATAAAGTCATGCTTTTTGCTCGGTGTTTCTTATTTTCAAATATCTTAATTTCCACGTGCCAGAAATCTATAGCAAAATCACATTAATATTTCTGAACTTATTTTGTAGCCACTCTTTGTCATCGGAATTTTTTAACAAGTAAATTTGAAGCTGTAATTTATCAATGAAAATTTTTAATTAAAATTAAAACTTCATTGGACTGCCCTTAGACTAGACAGTTTTCAACAACTAAAACTGCCCATATTGTACATTATTATTATGATTTATGCGTTCCGCCCAAAGACACTAGATGGAAGGGAGGGGTGACTTCGTGGATAATTTCGTGGTGTTTAAGATTCATTAGAAATTGCGAAATACAAGCTCAGAGTCTAAAAATCAAAAGTATATTATCACCTGGAGAGCTTGAAGAAGCAACTAAATTTATAATTAAGCTCACTCAAAAATCAGAATTCAAGCTTGAGTATGACTATTTACAAAAGAGACTTTCCTTCCCTCAAAACAGTAAACTGATTCCAATGAATGTTTGCCTTGATGAAGAGGGAATTATTAGAGTAGGAGGACGGTTAACACACTCGAACTTGGATCACAATTAAAGGCATCAAATTCTTATGACAAAGAATCATCATATCACTACGCTATTGATACAGTATTTTATGTCAAAACGCATTTACATAGTGGTCCTCTACTTACTTTGTGTTGTATCTGTTAAAAGTATTGGATACCCTGTGGAAGACATGCAGTCCGACGAATTCTATCTAAATGTTTGACTTGCTTAAAACTGAAGTCGCAAACATGTCATTCCATCTTGGGAGTAGATTTAATGTTGGAAGAGCATTTCTTAACATTGGACTTGATTTTAGTGGACCATTCATTACAAAACCTAACCTGACACGCAGCAGAGTAAGAATTAAATCGTATATTTCTCTTTTTATTTTCTTTGCCACTAAAGCAATTCATCTCGAGGTTGTTTCAAATTTATCAACAGATGCCTTTCTACCGGCTTGAAGACGGTTTATCTCTAGACGTGGGAGGCCGGTAAATCTGTATTCTGATAACGCAACGAATTTTTGAGGAGAAGCAACCTACGTAAAAGATCAATCAGTGCTTCGCAATTCTGCTAAAATTCAAAACTTTGCAGCTCAAGAATATATTGTATGGTATTTTATCCCACCTTCAGCTCCTCATTTTGGAGGATTGTGGGAGGCTGGAATCAAATCTGTGAAGCAACATTTATTGAAAGTTTGAAAGTCAGCTATCTTAACTTTTGAAGAATTTACCACTCTAGTAATACAGATTGAAGCATGTCTAAATTCTAGGCCACTGACTCCTCCTTCTTCAGGTCCTCAGGATTTAGAATCGCTTACTCCAGGACACATTTTAATAGGTGCTCCTGTAACTTCCTTTCCTGAGAAAGCTCCAACAAAGTCTTTGCTTAAAGTCAAGATGGCATCTGATTCAACAGCTTCGTAATGTTTTGGTCAAGATAGCAGAAGGAATATCTGAATCAACTACAACTACGAGAAAAGTGGACTTGGCGTGCAAACAGTTCAAGTGAATGACTTGGTTTATCTCAAAGAGGATTCTCTTCCGCCTTTCAAATGGAATCTTGGAAGAATCACAGTTTTTCCTGGAAAAGACGGAGTCGTTCGAGTTGTTGAAGTAAAAACGTCAGCTGGACTTTATCGACGTGTAATTTCCAAATGCTCTCCTAAGTAGTCATTCTTGAACTTGAGTGTTCAGCCCGAGGGGTGGGAGAAATGTTCAATTTTAAAAATGTTTATGCCTTATTTTATCTTTTTCTATAGATGGTGCTGCCCTCGCGCCAAAATAGATTACGCGCCAATTCGTAATCTATTTTTAATTTTGCCGAGTGTTTGTGGCAACAGATTAAATAAAACTAAACGACTAGTATTCGATGTTAAGAAAGAATGAACAATTCTAACAGCTGATAACGTCAAAATCTTATTCAATTTTTGGAGGCTCTTGACTGTGTCAAATTCAAGTATTTCCAGGTTATAAGTCGATGAAAATTCAAGGTAAGCTATTTAATAATTATTAATTATTGAACTTTTCCTTAAATATAATAACAGTTTCAATTATTAATTATTGAACTTTTCCTTAAATATAATAACAGTCTAAACAGTTTCCTTAAATATAATACAGGGCGATAATATTTGGTGGCAACAATTTGGAAAGTGATTCGACGCAAAATGCTGTTTTGAGACTAATAGCCCTTCTGGGCTAATAATATTATACGATTAGATTTAAATGATCTAAGAAAATGAACATATTACATGAAAGTAGCACTCCATCCTCAAAGATCATTAGACCAAAATTCTCGATTATCTGCGTGGGAAATATCCTTTTTGCAAATTATGTTTTTAATTGCTTCTCAAAATCATTAATAAAGGCAAAAATTTACAATTTTTTAGAAGAAACTCTGATATTTGATGCACTGAATAGTAACTTGAAATTTAGTTAAAAGTTGTCATTCTTGGCTGAAAAAACTGAATTTTGAAACTATAATCGGGTTTCTTTAGATGAAGAAAATAGCATCGGGCTTCTTTGAAATTACTTACGGTGTTGAAGATTTCCAAATATAAATGAAGAAAACTCAGAAAGTGTGGCTAAGGAAAAATAAGTGTATAGGTTTTGTTTCAGAGGATGACTGGTGATGCAGTAACTCAGATCGAAGTAGTAGTCTTATACTCAACAAGGAAAATGAAATAGAAACGATGGTCACGATGAAGTTCTGGAATGTGTAGAGAAGTTGTTAAACTGTATAGATGATTAAATTAGATTCAAATTCAGTAGTATCATAACTTTGTTCACGGGTCTCATAACTAGTGTTTGTTGAGTGCTCCACATAGTATGAAAGAATATCTACACTGCGTCTCGAAAAGGAGGGAAAGAACTATTGTATAATTTCATGAAAATGTGATTTTATTGGAAAGAGATTAAAATGTTATGTTACTTATTATTCGTATTGCTAATGTTTGGCCGAAAACAAGACAAAGAAAGAAAAATGTGAATTAAATCGATCTTCTTAATACAATTAATTGATAAAATTATACATTAATTTAATCAATCTGTATGCACGAATACATATAAGCAAAAGAGGCACAGGGCTTTCTCAAGGTACAGCCAAAC